AAGGATATTTAAATTAAAAACTATAATTCATTAAAATTATTTTATTATAATAAATAAATATTAATAGGCTTTTTAGATATAATAGGAATATTTATATATTATTAAACTCTATTTTAAAGATAAAAATTCTAAAAGTTTATTATAATAACTTTATAAATAAATATTAAAATATTATAAACACCTTAGAAATCCTAAAATCAAAATATTTTTAATTTTTGATAAAAAAGAATATTAAGAATTATATTAAAACTTATATAATATATTAATAAATTATTATAAAAAAATATAAGCTCTATAACGAATTATAAATCCTCCTTATATCTTATAAATCTTAAAAAAAAAATTATAGATTTTATTACAAATTTACTCCCATTAAAACTAAATAAATATATTTATAATATAATCTTAATTATTATTAATAGATTTATAAAACTTACCTAATATATTCCTATAAATAAAATAATTATATTATTTAAATTTATATAAAAATTAATATAGAATATATTCAAAGATTTTAAAGTATTAGAGAGTATTATTTCTAATAGAGAAATATAATTTATAAATAAATTTTGAGAAAGCTTTTTATTCTATTTATAAATTTGTTAAAAACTTTTAATAACATTTTATTTATAAATTGATGAGCAAATAAAATAATAAAATCAAAATTTAATTTATTATATTATTTATTATATAAATTATTAATAAAATAATTGAGTATTATTACTTTTTCTCACTGAATTTATATATAATATTATATGGTATAGTATAATAAATATTATTCTTTTCTAAGTAATGTATGGATATTAATCTATCTTTTATTATATTAATAAGAATATTGATATTATAAAAAGGACACTAACAGTACACAAATGAATCATTATTTTTAATAAAGAATGGGAAAAGCTAAAAGAATTTTAATAATTTATTATTGAATAAAAAATATTAAAAGCAAAAAATACAATCTTGTAGTAATATAATATTATGGATAAGATAATATTAAATATATAAAATATTAAGCAACTTTAATTAAGAAAGAAATTTTTAGATCAATCTATAAATCTTTTTATAATAATAGATATAAAAAATAATAATTAAATATATGAATTTAAGCTATTATTTATTTATAAAATTTATAAAATTTTTTATATTTCTCTATTAGAATTGTGATATAAATGACTAGGTATTATAAATCTATTATTATTAGAAGAAATAAATAAATACTTAAAATATAAAATAAAGAAATTTATAATATATAGAAAAAAAGAAAGAGATATTCAATATTTGATTTGATAAAAGAACTATCAGTTAATAAAAGATATATAAAAGATTTATTATAATCTCGAAAATATAAAATGAATATTAAAAAAATATAATAAAAAAGGAGAATTATTAATATAGAAATTGAAGAGAAAAAAGGAAAAACTATAAAATAATAGAATTATACTATATGCCCATTTAGGATTTGCTATTATCATATAATTATTCAAGTATTTCCTTTTTTTATTGTTTTTTATTCTAATAAAAATGAGATTGTAAATCCCTTTTTGCTAGTATATTATATATAATTATTAAATAAATTTTTTTTTTTTTGATATCTTTGAATAGTTTTTGTTTTTAACTCATAAATCTCAAGATTAATATTAATTAAATCTTTATTAAAATTGAATTAATGGGATTAATATCAAGCTTTTTATGAGATTTTATTCTATATAAAAATTTATTTATAATTAGTATGATTATAATGTTATATAATATTAATTACAATAATTTAATAATAGGATTTTATAGCAAAATTAATTTTCTAATATTATACCCCTAAAATATCTTTTAGGAAGAAAAGATTCCCAAAATAGATATTATTTATATTACTGTTTTCTTGTTTCTTTATATTTATTAATATATCAATCTTATTTTTATTAATCAATTCTTCTTTTTTTTTTAAAATATTATCAAATAATTAATTCTTTAATAATTCATTTGTAATATTTTATTATTATTTAGAAAATCGATTAATATCCATTTTATTTTATTATTAAGGTTTTTCCGGGGAACCCACTTAACTATTAAATTCTTTTATATAGATTTTCTGATTTAATTCTAATATTTTTGAAATAAATATAAAACCCTTTTTCAGTTTAATAGCTTAATATCTTACTATAGAAGAACTTTTATAAATAAATAAAAAAGTCTTTTTTTCTATAAACTTCTAAAATATTTTATAAATAAAAGAAAAGGAAATATAGGAGAAAAAACAAAAAAGAGTAGATAGCAAATTAATAATAATATTATAATACATTGAGTGTAATATATTATACATATCAATCAAAATCTTAGAAATAACAATATATAATAGGGTACTAAAGGTTTTATGAAAAACTTATATATCCTTATTATTATTATTATTATCAGATTTGCTATCATTAAATACAAAAGAAAAAAGAGATTCTTTAAAAAATTAGATTCTAGGGTATTTAAGCTTAATACAATCCTTATAAATAGATATATCTAGTATTTTAATAATAAATTAGCAATAAAATTAATTCTTAAAGCTGGTTATTATATATAATATATTAAATTAAAAAGCTACGAATAGAGTAATTAGTTATATAAATATTATAGGGGATATTATTACAAAAACTAGATTTGATAATAATAGTATATCTATAAGGATTATATAATTATAAATAATAAAAGCTATAAATTCCTTTTTATAATCAAGATCGATAATAGAAATAAACTTTATAATAAAACCTAGTATAATAATATTCAATAAAAATAAGATATTCTATACATATAATAAATTAATTTATTCAAAATCGAAGTGTAAATAATAATAAATTAATTTTAAATTAATAGAAATCTATAAAATATTTTATTAAATTATTAATATAATTTAATTAGTTTATAATTAAAAGATCTAATTTCTTTAATAATTAAGATTTATAAGTATTCCCATACTTAATCTTTTTTTACAAAAAGGCTTTTATATTTTTTATATAATATTCCTTTTATTAAATTATAATCATATTATTCATAATTTCTTTAATATTATAATATATAGTTGTATTATAATAAATATATATTTAATATATAAAATTAATATTAGGAATATAGTAAGAAAATATTAGAATATAGAATTTTTTTTAATAATAATAATAATTATAGAGAATATGTAGATTATAATTAAATTTATAAAAATTATTAGAATTAATATTAGTAATATGCTTAAAATATTAAAGGTAAATAGGAATAATTAATTTAATTAGATTAATAATAAAATATAAAATAATAGAAATAAAATTATTAAATTAAAGAATAATTATTACAAAAAAAATAAAAAAAGTTTAATGAAAAAAAGAGATTATATTATTCAAAAACAATTCTATTTCAATATAAAAAAAAATATTATTTTATAAAAAATATAATAATTTATTAATGAAATAATGAAATATATAAAGATTATTTTATTTATATTTTTTATTATTTATAATATATAAAGATATAGAAATTTCCTTTTGAAAATATAATATAATATAGGTATAATATAATATAATTATATGTTATTAAAACAATTTAATCAAAAAATAAAATACTTCCTAAAATATAAAATATAAAAAAAGGGAGTTTTGTTATAATTATAAATTAAAGAATTTTATTAAATATATAATGATAAGCTTTCAGATCTATTATATATTAAAAGAAGTTTGTATATATATATAAATTATATAGTTTTTATAAGTTTAGAAGAATTAATGAAAAGTCTTTATACTATATTTCACCTAGTTGATTTATTAATAGTATCTACTCTAACATAATCTTAATTAAAATGAGATCTTTAAAAGTATTATAGGTTATAGACTAGTAGTATTATATGGAAGCTAGCTCGGTTTAACAACTAAAATGGATTATATAAGCAGTGTAACACGTGATATTAAAGAATCTGTATATCGATATTCAATTTCTTATTTTATATTCAATGAGGAAAAGATCTTATTTTATACTTTTTCCTACTAATCTAGCTTTTCCGCTTTCGTTAATCTTTTGCAGATCTCTTCCTAATCCGGCCATTCTTTCGAAATAAAGCTCTTTTTCTTATTCTTTATTTCGTAGTCTGTTTTCGAATTTATAGCCGTTTTCGAAAGCTTATAATCGACGATCATGTGATTTGATTATATAATACGCTCATATTAGGTTGAATGCTTTCAAAAGATATATATATATTATATTATTCTTATTAAAATAATAAAAAGAACTATCTTCAAAGCTTTTTAAAGCTATTCCTGAAATCTAATTACTAATTTGCTTTAAAAAGATTAAATAAAAAGAATTATTAGAATAGATATAAGATAATAATTAATATAAATATAAATATAGATTTAGAATAAGACTTCTCATTGTTTTCTTTAAAATCTCTTTTTGAAACTATATATATATAAAAATTCTTTAGTATCGAAATAATATCGACCTAATGTCGGTTTCATATCGATGCCTATAATATAAAGATCGTTATTTTCTATTATTATTAATAAGTCAGATTCTATTTTTGATTCTGTTTTCAATGAAGATTCAGACTATAACTCTCAGTCTGATATGAGAAGCTGGCTCTAGTAAACAACTAAATTGATGATATAAGCAGTGTGACACGTGATTTTGAATGAATCTGTATTAGATATTCAATCTTCTTATTCTATCTTTCAAGGGAATAAAGTCTTATTTTATGCTTTTTCCATTCGATCTAACTTTCCCTCTCTCGTAGATCTCTTCTTAATCCGGCCATTCCTTCGAATAAAGCTTTTTTATCTTCTTTATCTGATTTATCTCTCGATGAGTTAAGAGAACTAATAAAGAATCGAATTTCTTTATTCTCTTTTAGACCACTTCGGACTAAACGCTCCTATTAGGCGATGATTATGTGATTGGCTACCATTAGATTGTTTTTATATAGAATCTCTTTAAAAGATATATATATTATTTTATTTTTATTTTTAAAAACAATATTTTCAAAGCATGATGTTGATCCACCACAACATCGTCCACTTGAGACCCTTCAATGCTCCCTTATCCCGCTCATCCAACTGGCCGACCTCAAACTTCTTGATCAAAGCCTCTAAAGAATATCTGCACCACATGATAGTTCCCAACCTCCACGCCCGATAGATAGACCACACACTAGATATACCGAGGCCAGCGAGTAAAGCAAGACGAAGCTCATTATGCTTCGAATACAATGCTGCATTTATAGTCGAGCGCCAAACAATCTTGGATATCCCGTTGACCTGCCGGAATGAACGCAAGTTGTGTATATCGTTTTTCACCATGCCGGTCTCTTCATTGCTGTCTGCTATTAGAGCTTGTGCCCAAGCGCTGAGAAACCAGCGAGAGTTAGTCAGTATACTTGTCAAAGCATTGGAACGGCGCGATCTGGACTTACAACCCGCACATGAAGAGTAAGCAGTAAGGGACATACGGGAATCGTCTGTAAGGCCATTCAGAGTACTGTATTTGATGAAGCAAGCTCCTCATTGATCTAAATTCGAGACGTAGAAGATCCCGTGCTACCTCGAACGCCGCCCTGGCAGGATCTGAGGATTCGTTGTTTACTATAGATGTATTTAATGGGAAGCTCAGTTGACCGCAGTGACGGGACTTACTCAAGGCTCTGCTTTCTGAATTATCACTATGATAGGGATGTTAATGATTGCATCTCAATTTGAATATCGAACACTTACTTATGAGGGGCATCATGTGGACGATAATTGATCAAATCCCTCAAGTCAAAATCCGCATCACGATGCCGCTTTTCGAACTGAATACCGAGGGGCTCATTGAGTGCGGAAAAACCTGCGTCAGCTTGGTCGAAGTTGGACATCTTGATGGTGAAGTCTTGCAACAGTTAGTCAAGTGTTCAGTGATAAATCATTTCATCAACTCGCCTTTCGCGGGTTGCAAAATAAGGGATGCTCAGCCCCCGGCTCGGTGACCGAATTAGGTCTAGTGAGGACGGGACGCGGAAGTTCAGCCGCAACAAATCAGGCATCTAGAACTCGAAGCTATACTCCATATGGTCGAGGTGTGATTAGACTAGCTAGCATAGCCGAGTCTAGGCCAAGGGAGTTTTCCTTCTTTCTTAAGTTTTAGCGAATCGATTCATTACACTTGCTTCTTTGCTCTATACCTTTTGAGAGACTCATTATATACCGAGAGAGCTACTACAACTTTACTAGTAGTCTAACCGATGTCCCTATATCTTGTATAACTCTATATCTTATACAACCTCAAATTCATTACTACTATAACTTTAATATTTAATTATAATTATAATTTATTAAATATTCAATTGAAATTTTGAAATATTAATAAAATAATATATTATTGTTGTATAGATTAATAAAATAATTAGATTTTAAATTTTATTAGTATTATCATTACTCACTCACTTTTAGTTCTGGTTTCTATACTCTTCTTTTTATTTCTTAAAATATCAATTTTCTTTTTATTTGAAAGTTCTATAGTATTGATTCGAGAAGAATATAAAAGAAATAGTACTTATATATTATAGGTTCTATATATCTAATTGTATTCTATCTAAAGAGCTAGCTAAGTGGGAAAGTAGTAGGCCTTATATAGATACTACTGAAAGAGCTAGTCTCTTTCGTATTCGCTTAATCCCTTTGATATAGTAGCTATTGTATTGAAGTCATTCCTTTGAAGTAAATACCCTTGTTTACACATATAGCTTTTTGAAATATTAAATCTAATATAAAGAAAAGTTTTGATAATTTATTTAATAAATCAATTTAATACTTTAAAAGTTTTTTATTATTCTTTTTAAAACTTTGTAGAATTTAATAATCAACTTTCCTTTATCTAATTTTTTTTTGTATCTCTAAATAATTCTTTTATTCTTTAGTTTGTTAATTTCCTTATTTTATTTAATAATACGCTTTTTAATAATTTAATATATCTTAGCTTTTAAAATAATATTAGAGGAATATAAATATACTTTATTTATTTCCTCTTCTATCAGATTTAATCTTTTAAATCCAATTTTTTTTTTGTATTTTTATAATTCTTTTAATCTCTTTATTTTATGTAATTAAATACTAACTTGAATTATATTAATGAAAATAGTTTTAAAAAGCTTCAAAATGATTTTAGCGTTATTTTGATATCAAAACTCTAATTTAATCTTATAAAGAGTTTTTATAATATATAAAGTTTTGAATTTATTTTTATATAATTATGTTAATATAAATAATATAAAGAAAAATTCAGATATAATATTAATAATAATAGCTTTTTTATATATAAAATAAATACTTATTTTTTCAAAGAAAAAAAGTATATTATATATCGTATAAGTTTGAACTCAAGCTTTTTTGAATATAATTTAGAAGTTTCATTTTATAATTCCAGATAATCTCTTATTTTTATATAATAAATTATTTAATATTATATTATAATTTATTAAAAATAAAAAAATAAAGTTGTAATTAAAAGATTGAAATTGATATATAAAATGAAATAACAAAATCAACAATATTATCTTTGATTTATTACGTTTTAATATAAATTCTATATTAATATAATTAGAATGATCATTTATAATCAATAATTAATATTCTTTGCTTATTTTTAGATATATATAATATTAAAATACTTTTTAAAGTTGTATAAGGTTAAAAGTATTAAATGATTATTTATTATTTAAAGTTTTGAAATAAGCTTTATTCTCTTCTTTTATTTTATTAATTTATATATTTTAAAGATCCTTTAATTTCTTTTTATATAATAAAATAACTAATATAAATATATTATTAATAAAAATATATATTAAAAGATTAATAAACATTTGAAATTTGTTTTATATAGTTTTTGTTATTTTGTCTTTTTTATAAATATTAATATTTATTATTCTTTTTATAAAATATATTAATTTAATTAAAAAACTGTTTTTATTCCAATTGTATATATTTTTTGGTAATATATTATATTTTGTAATTATTTTTGTTAATTAAATAAATAAATAAAAGTAATTAATAAAAGCTCTTATATAATAAAAATCAATAATAAATTGAAAATAGTATTAACTAGATTATAGAAATATTCAAAATAATTAATATTATTAGTTTTAATATATAGATTATCAATACATTAAAGATATTGATTTTTAAAATATATTAAATATTTTTTAATGAAATAAACTATCTAACTTTTCTCTATAAATTGATTTATAATCTCATTTACTAGATTTTTAATTTTGTGATTTATAGAAGATATAGATCATTATATTAGTTTATTGATTTAATTAATTAAACCCTCTTTTTATTCTTTATTCTTTATTAAAATATTGATAGATATTTTTATAAGTAGAGGTATAAGAAACTATTTATTCTTTATATTGCTAATATAATATAGAGCAATTGATATTGTGAATTTTTGTAATAGTAATTATATTAGACTTTTCTTTAGTTTTAATTTCAGTTATTGCTTATTGTATACGGTCTTTTATAGCTAATATGAGATTCAATATAAGTTTTGTAGTTGATATTTTTTGAGATTCAAAAAATTGTATAAGATGTAGGGATATCGGTTATTGGTTTACCGGTTTGGTGGCGTGTCTCATCTCGACTATAGCTTTGCCATGGCTTGCCATACGCGCCGCACTGAAGTCGAGACTTGAATTCTTTTTCTGGACTCACAAAGCGTCCTGCGGGCTCATGAAATCACCATGTCGCCAGCCGTTCACATCGCATGCCATCCCAAATGCCCTCGCTTCTACCCAATCAAACTGTACAGCTCAAAAAAGCCATCAGCCATCGATACGCCCAAACCTTCCTTTTCCCCTCCGCCGACCATCACAGCCTCTCACCAGTGGTGCTTTGACTATGAGGCTGGCAACATGGCAACAAGATGTGGCGGTCGAGGCTGGATCTTTGCTTTGCATTCGTATCATGCAATTGTTGACCACATTTCAAAGCAGAATCCCTTTCCTTTCTACAATCCTCTCTAATTATCTTTTTTCTCATCGTCTATACCAAGCTCCAGCAACGTAGTACCATACAGTCAATCATGAAGTCATCCTCAGGCTCATTGGTCCCTAGCCGGCCGAGATCGAACCTATACGCGTCTTTGATCGAAAGGCGTCGGCCAGCTCCAGCTCCTGTTGATGCCGACTTGAAGGTCCGTATGTCGGTTTGGGAACGAGGATCTCGTCAGACGAATTCTCAACTCGCCATCCTCATCCGCTCCATTCTTCGAGTAATACACGAGGAAGGAAACATTCCAAACCCTTGGACTGTTACTGCTGTGCTTCGTTCCATTGAGCCAGCGGGGCCGTGGCCTCAACCAATACAGGTACGTGGTCGAACGTTTGGCGACCGCAACTTTCTTAGCCATGCCCTAAAAGTACCTCTACTGAATTGTTAGGTGGATCTTTCATGCCGAAGCATTGATATCTTGCAATCGGAATCGTCCAGCCCTGAAGAGGCATTGGAGGACGAAAAGGAATTCGTGGACTTTTTGTTCAAACACCTCGAAGCAATTCATACGACAGACCTAGACTATGTGAGATCAATCTACTCCGACCGCCTAATCGGCTTCGCTCTTAAATATCCGGCGATTCCAGATGGGGAGACTTCCTACAGCAGACTCGACATCCAGAAGTTCCACCTCCCAGAAGTCGAAAATTTGGAGACATTCAGGACCAAACTTATTTCAACGAAGTTCTACCATGGACCGTAAGATTCAGCTTCAAAGTTGCGTATCTCGTCTAATGATGTGTAGTCTCCTGGCCTTGGATCGTGTGGCAGAGGTTGTGAGTGCGTACAAGGAAATGATACAAACGATTCCGCATGGCAGTTTTCAAAATGCCAACGCTAACATGGGACTGGCTGCTGCAAAAGCAGCAGTTGGGATGCAACCTATAATGGAAAATGTTTTTTCTCCCGCTCATGTAGAACCAGTATGGACGGGCATCTCAGGCTAACTATTCGTAGCATCCTTTGTTGAAAGATCTCGATCGATCTACTGTCGATGATTTAGTTCATCACTACACCCCGCCAGTGATACGATGTATGGAAGAAGTTTTGGACGCTTTGGAGAAAATGGCTATGGCTACCAGTATGTAAAATTCTACGAGACGTTTTGTCAGAAGTCTCATTCTGATATGTTGTGTCTAAATAGAGTCGAGAGAGCCATGTCCTCGTCAAACTTGCGACATACTTTCAAAGATATACCAGCTTAAACGAAGCACTCCAGCGCTCACTGCTGTGTTAGTGTTGCTCGCAGATAAGAAGGCGCAAGAGAAATATATATGGGGCTCCGTTATTGTTGGTGGTGTCATCGGGGTTGTGATCGGGGCCTCTCTATTATGTGCTGCGATCGGAGTCGGATCTTCTATGACTTTAGTCAAATTTCTCCAAGAGGCAGAGTCACACAACAGTATGTTAAACTGTCTCCCACAACCTTTTGAATTATCACCCTTCGACGCTGCTTCTTTGTTAATATCAAAATTATTGTTTCTAATTGTCGGCTTACAGCTATGTTCATCAATCAGAAGGTCAATGACAGCCTCGGAATGATCGTGTACTATATCGCCTTGTGCTTTATGAAGTCTAACGGTATCGTCAACCTACACAGCGATGACGACCAAGTGAATAAGATCATGGAGAAGCTATATGGTCAACGACCAACACAAATAGCGAAGAAGCAATATCGAGCAGCATTCTTACACAACCTAGTCGGAAAACTGGCAAAGGATTTCCGCGAGGTCATCGCAGGGCTACGGAAACTTGGATATGCTCGTCTGACAGAGCTGGAATGGACGCCGCAGCCTCTGATTACTGAAAGTGAGAGTACGATGACGTTTTAATGGTGTCTCTTTTGTTTGACTCAATGAATACATTATTTGTAGTGCTTTGGTTGCGGGAGTTTATTTTTGGGGGTTTCAATAGATTTCATAACGTTTGAATATGTCAAAAATAGGCAAATACATATCTCGTGCTTGTGTCTTCCTCTGTTCCGAGTCTGTCGTAATTTGCAAGATCATCTGGAATGTTCAAAGAAATGAGGAGCCAGCAGCCTCCACTAGCGAATTCCAAATGGCCCAACTCCCTCTCTTGCAGGAAAACAATACAAAATTAGCCAGGCTCCAGAACTCAGCTGATAAGTTTGGACTGGATTTCAACAATTCTCTCGCGCCACAAAGAATTGGCGTCAACGCTAATGGCGTACTCGGGCGATGCTGCACTTGTTGCTTGATGAGGCGTACCGGCGCTTACAATATTGGCAGCTTCCATGTCCGTCAGCTTCCATTCATACGGCTGAGAAGGCTGTGCATGTCTGCCTTGAGGTCTAGCAAATCTTAGTACACTTCCTGTTCGCTACTTTTCCACAAACTGGTTATTTAGGGCCTCGATGTCATAGGGGCATTTAACCCCCCCAAAAATCCTCGCATAGCCCATCAACCTCAAATGAACAAGACTGACTTCACCATACCCATAGTTCTTCATTCCTGCCGCATTTTATCAATTGTCTTCGGAATGTCTACCGACACAATACTGGAAACGACTTGGGACAGCTTGAGACATCGGATCGGGGCTGGTTGGGATCCACTACAATGTCAAGTCCTACCGTCAGCTCTGGTAGCATTTGACGCCGAAAAATCCAATGTTAGTCCCGATGTTCAGTATGAGTTCGTCACCATTTCCAACGAAGCCGAAATGCAAAGAGAAATCGACGCCAGTTTCAATGTGTCCGCAACACTATTCGGAGTCGGACTTGACGCAGCGTACAAACAGTTGAATACTGTAACTTATAGCAGCTTGTCAATAACAGCAATCCTTCGTTGCACAATCACTTATAGTCCTGCACTCTATCGCCAAACACCAAAGTTCAGCCCAGTTGTGGAAAATCTTCTCCAGAACGATCTTGCTGCTTTTCGCAGAAGATATGGCAGCCACTTTGTCGCGGGATACGTCGAGCAGTCAAGAATTAGTGCTGTTACAGTATACACAACAAGCTCGAAAGAACAACTAAACGAGTTTCGAGCAAGTATCCATGCAGGAAAAGGATTTGGAGCCGTCGATACTGCTTCATCAGTCATGTTTCTTGCTTCGGACAAGAACATTAGCACGAGTATCACGTGGCAGTCAATGGGTATCGACACGCTGTCACTGACAACAAATCCAGGCCCGAAAGACATCGAGAGAATCTTCAATAACTTCCCGAGTACGAGACCGAAGCCGTTGACAGCAATACTGCATACCTATGCTTTCATCGCACCGCAATATGAAGATCTCCGAAATGCCCAAGTGATTGGTCCTGAGCTGCAGAAATCGATCATACTCGCCTTGAAAGGACAATCTGAATGCCGGCTGTACAACTTCATAGCTTCCAAAACTCTGCTTTCGAGTTTCATGGATATCGGACAGACGATTGTCGCTATTCAGCCGGTGAATGCTCAGTGGAAAGCGGTACTTGCAGATTGCAACTGTCGCATTGAGAAGGCCCAAAACGAGCTCATCGCGTGGAAAATGCGACACGAGTTGTTAGAATATGCAATCAAAAATGCGAAGAGCAATTTGTATAGGTGAGATAGTACCTACCCGGTTTAGAAACAATAATTATCTAAAAAGCTCATCGAATCAGGGATCATGCACAATCTCCGGGACGAACCAAAACATTCAATTTCGGCTACACTTCCGAGAGCTATCACGGCCTCCCAGACAAAATCCATCACGAGACAGTGGTGTGTAGGGTTCATGGTAAGATCAACGAGGAACAAGAGCGACGAGCTACTGTGTATCCCAACAATGCTCTCATTATAGGATTTCGCATCACGAGTCATTGGGATGATGGTACCAATGGCTCCTTTAAGATCGTGGGAGGTGGTGTTGACTGTAATAATGTAGATGTCTGCTTCTGGACTCAGAGGAATAGAGGGGGTCATTGGTCCGTCGATGCTTGGTATGTAGACGCGATGCTCTATCGACGGGGTTGATAGTTTTCGCCCCTTGTGAAGATCTCCTAAATAGGTATGAGTGCATGTATTAGAAATTTTTTCTTCTAGTTTTGATACTAGACTATAAAAATTATATCATAATGACTTTTACAAAAAAGATTGGTTTTAACGTGCATCCATGTGTCGCGAGACGCACCCCGTGACGAGACAAAACATAGATACTTTGAATTAAATTGATTCTATCTTTGTGCTTCTATCGAAGATTCCTATTATTTTGTATCAGTCATGTTTTGTGACCAGTTCTGAGCACTCCCTGAACACCACAAGGTTAAGAATGATTCTTCACAATATCTTGATCATCCAGGGATCCTCATGGCAAATACCAGGGGCCCCAAACGTAGATACGTGGTGTTTCGTATATAGAATTGCGACTGTGTACCCGTCTCGAAGCTGAGCAGGTGCTAATTCACTGCTTCGGCCGTTGGTATAGAAGTGCAATGGAATTCTCCAGCTATCAACATCCTTAGTTTCTATCTCTAGATAATGGAGTGTGATGAAATCTATAATCTCATTCAAGAAGTATCAATAGCGTTGCGGTCGGTAGGATACTATATCACTACTTCCTGGAGGTAAGTTTTCATATTATAATAATAATAATATTATAATCTTTTAGTGGAAGACTTAGTCAGATTTAGCTTAGGGATAAATCGAAAATGTGTAATAGTTAAATTGAAGTTAAATAGTATAAAAGAATTGAATTATATCTAATTCGCTTATTCTTCTAGGTTTTCTTAATGAAATTTTAGTAGGTTTTATGCTTATAAATAAGATTGATTTAAATAGGATCATATAGAATCATTTTATATTATAAAAAGAAAATGTAATCAATTAAATCGAAACAATTTATTAACAATCTTTTATAACGTGATTTATCATCGAGTAAACCATATCATCGAGTAGGCCACTTCAAAATACATTAAAATTAAGGCTTTTTGAATATTCATATTTTAATAACTAATTATTATTTTAGAAAAAGAAAAAAAGATTAAATAATAATAAAAGATTAGTTTTCTAAAAATCTAGTTTTTATATTAATATTTTCATTTTATATTAAAAAAAGTGAAAATTATCACAATTTTCATTACAAAAAAATATTCCTAATAATAATTCTTATATTAATTTGAATTTCTAATAAATAATGAGATTTTTATAGTATTTATATAATTAAATTTTATATTTTTAATTTTTAAAATTTTTTATTAATAAATAAAGAAAGTGTATGGTTATATATAGATGAATTTTATATATAAAAATGATGGCCTACTTGATGATATGGTTTACTCGATGATAAATCACGTTATGGTTTCATTTTATTCTATTTCATTATAAATTAATTTAACAAGAGATATTACTATATTATGATATAATAATATAATTTGATAATATGAAATCATATTATATATATATTACTAATCAATATCGTGTCTTATTAGTAAGATATTAATAACGTAGTTTATCAGCATATGAGCTATATTATTATATAGGCCACCCCTTTTTGTATACAAAATTCGTCTGTGCGTAACTGTACACTTTCTTTATTTAAGAATATAATTTTATAAAATTCGAAAATTTGAAAATTTAATTATATAAATATTATAAAATTTGAAACATTTATTGGAAAATGGAATTATTATAGTAGTTATTATAGAGATAATATTTTTGTAACGAACATCGTAATAATTTTCATTTTCTTTATAAAATAATAGGAATTTTTATATAAATACTAGATTTTCAAAAAACTTATTTTTTATTATTATCTTTCATTCTTTTTTTTTCAAAATAATAATATTGAAAAAGGTTTAATTTTGGTGTATTTTCAAGTAGCCCACATACTAATATGACTCATATGCTAATAAATTACGTTAAATTATTTAGTATACTTATTATAGAGTTTCATAATTGATAATAGCTACTCAATATACTAGCCCTTCAAATAAAGAGATTACAAATTTTTGAATTAATCTTTTTGATTTTTTATTATTAATAAATAAAATATTTGAAAATAATAAGAACTAAAGGATTTATTTTTTATAATATCTAATTATATAATATTTTGTATTCTAAAGATATTGAATATAATAATTGATTGCTTTTATATAATCTAAAGATAAATTAATTAGAAAATAATTAAATTATAATGCTGTGAATGTTATGTTTGCTTTAATTGTAATGATGAAAAAGAAAAAACTATCAATTTTAAATAAAAAGGTATTAGGTATAAAAATATTCAGGAATATTAATAAAAAAATTTATTTATATAACAATGATAAGTGTTTTAATGATTATTATAGAATATAATTCAAATATTATAAGAATTCTCAGAATCCTGATGTTTTGATTAGTTGATTAGATCTCTATTAAGCGAGAACGTCATTTGTTGATATCTTAGAGAATATAGTATTTACTCGTGAATTATTAATCTTTGTTATGATATGAACGCAAGTGAATGAACTTAGGGCATTGGACTACTCTAGTAGACTGGGCGAGAAAGCTAGTCTTTATGAACAAGGATTGCTTTTCCCTGTATATAACCGATTTCCCCACTATATACGTTCCTACTATATACACAACTTTGAAAATATTAATATTATAGCTTCAAATACTAATAATATATTTTTAAAGATTTGTATAAAGTTTGTATTAGATTGTTTAAAAAAGATTTAAACTTCTAAATATATTTAAATAATTAATTAATCTATATTTTCCTAGCAATATAAAAATAAAATTATTTTAAGAAAATAATTTCTTTTCGACATAAAACAAATGTTCTCTAATAATTAAAAAAAGATTTTAATTAATTAAATTAATAAATTGATATAAAGATTTATTCCTTTTATAAATTATATAATCAAAAATCTTATAGAAAAGATTTCAAACAAAAAAATAAGGAAAAATTGAATTAATAATTTTATTAAAAAATATTTAATATGTTTTAAAAATCGATATTTCTATTATATTGATAATTTATATGTGAAAACTAATAATGTTATTATATTTAATTACTTTTATAATCTGATTTAAATTATTTTCTATTATTATTAGTTTTTATTATTTAAAATACTTTTGTTGGTATCATCATAAGAATGGTGAAGACAATATAGTACTATAGTTCATACTATTATAATATTACTTGAGATTTTAAAAGCTAGAGCTATAATACATTTATACTTAAGTGTTAAGAAATTAGTATAAATATTAATATAGTTATATAATCTCTATTCTAATATTAATAATTTTTTAAAATTGTTAAATTATATCCTTCTAATTAATATTTTTTTGCCTATATAATCAGCTATTTTTCTAATTTCTTTTAATTTATTTTATAATCGTAATCTTTATAATACTATTATTAATTAGATTTTTAAAAGCTTAATATAATTTTGATTTAATTATTGTATCAATTAAATTAGGTTCTCTATTTATCTATTTGATTTTTATAATCTTTTGTTTTTATATATTTCCTGAATTACTATTATATTAATTATTAATTTATTTTTATTAATAATTCTGAGTTTTGTAAAATAATTATAAAATAATTTAGAAATAATATATATAATTAATAGGATTTTATAATTTAAAAAGATTTTATTAATAATATTTTTGATTATTATATTAATATTAAAGTCTATAACTATATTATAACGTTCTAATATTAATATATTTCTAATAATTTTCTTATATTTAATAAATAATTAATAAATGATATTAGCTTTATTATATTTATTTATTAAAATAATAATATATCTAATCTGAGAGAATAAATCTTTATTATTAGTAAAGAATATATTAATAAATATAACTAATTTGAAAAAGTTTATATTAAGTAAAACAAATTATAATTCTCTCTCCAAATTATTGATTTATTATTAAATATGTTTATTAAAAGAATTAGTATTTTCTTCTTTCAGATTAATAGTTTATATAATATAAGATAAATCGAAAACTGTTTTTAATTAACACATAATTACAATATATGCTTTTTGGGTATATTATATAATATATTAGTTTTTTGTTATTACTAATTTTTTTAGTTTTTTGTATATATTGTATATATTGGATAATTTCAATCTAATTAAATATAAGTTTTTGTATTGTTTCTTTTAATTGAAATAAACTGTATCATTGTTTTGTTGAGTAATTAAACTATTATTAAATTTGAATAATATATTTAATATAAATATCTTATACTCTTTTATTATGAATTTAATATTATAAAATTCCTTTTGCTTATGATTTATGAATTTGTTATTAATAATTATAAATATATTATTTACTTATAATTCAATAATACCAAATACTATATTGTTTTTAATTATATATAAAAATATGAGTTATAAATTAATTATTTTATTTTAAGGATATTAATATAATATTTATAATAAATGCTAAATTAGTAATTATTTATTTTTGGGATATTATATAATAATCATATTATTTAAAGAATAAATCCGTTTGGAATATCCATTTCTATTAATGATTATATATAGAACTTCCGAATTAAATTTAATATTAATTATATATATACTTATATAATATTGTAAATACTTATAATTATCTTGTCTTTAGAGAGTATAATTATTATTAATAATATAATATATTAATTAATATATTATATTATAAGTAATTACATTAAAATAATATTCTTTTCTTGATTTTTTTATACTTATATTATTAATTAAGATTTTAGAAATACCTTATTAATTTCTTGATTTTTAATCTTATTAACAAAATATAAGTTGAAAAACAACATTTTTCATTAATTTATTGAATTTATTTTATTTTAATTTGATAAAGATTATTAATATTTATATATTAAAAAATATTATATAGTATCTAATATATAAAATATTATTATATTTGTTTTTATTTGAAAGATATATTATTAAATTAAATAATATTATAAATACTAAGAAATATATATTTATCTTTTTATTTGAGAAATAAGTCTAGAATATAGGAATTATAATTCAAGGGAATGA